AGTTGAGAAAATAAGGGTCATTTTCTTAACTTATAGCTATGCTTGTAGAATGATCATAAATTTACGAAAGCTTGTACTTTGCACGAATAAAGAAACGCATTGTAACTGTTCATATTCCTTTTTTATACTTTAGAGTAATTTAAAAAGTGGTAAAAAGAGGAATTTTTGACTCACGCTCATCCAGTGTGGTGACAGACAGGGGCTCACTGAGGTCGCCTTGTCCCACTGTGTTGACAGCACGGACCCTGAAAGTGTACGATGTGACAGGTGTCAGTCCCTTGATAATGGCAGAGAGCTCGGTCCCCGGCACGTTCGTCTGGACCCCTGTGGTGGATTCCTCCGTGCTATCGTCCTCTGGAAACAATGATACTCATGAGGAATTTCCTAACTTACATAATTTTAGTTGATAAGAAGGAAAGTCTAGTAACGATTGCTTCAATAGCTCCCAATTCTATTACAATTTCAAGCTCATCAGTGAATACAAATTGCTTGTTCAAATAGGTAAAAATAAATAGTTAAAAAGGTTTGAAAAAATTGAGGTCGCCTCACCATTCAAAACTAGCCGCCAGCTAAACACCACTTTGAAGGATTGTGAAGATATCAATTGATCCCTTGTGGATCACATGGAATAAAGTCCGTCCTTGACTGATGAGGGCCATTAACTTGAAACCATGGTCTCCATGTGGACGCTTTTCAGTTTCAATAGATTTAAATCTAACATTGCTACAGATTTCTGGAGATGTGTTTCTTTATCTTTATTAAACATATTCTCGAACCTTTGGGTATTTCTGCCCTACTACAGGAGTACATAATAATATGTTATCGCTTCTAAGCTTTCCAAATTTGTTGTTGTGGCTTTGCCACAGTTTGAGTCGTTAGTTTTCGAAGATGATCAGTAAATGGCCTCTAGTTTCGACGTCTATTTAACGGAAGATGCGACCATTATTTTTAAAGATTCTCCTGGCAAAAAATTCATCTATCTATATATCCCATCTAGGTTAGAAACATGAGAAAGACAAATAAATAAAAATATTGTAACGTAGAAAATTAGGTAAGACAAACTTCAGGATGACACGAAAATTCATTTAAGGAACAAGCAAAACAACATCAACATTTAAAAGATACAAGACAAGCAATGAAAGAAGTTTACAGAGTAGCAAAATATAAATAATATAAATATGGAAAATTAAAAGTCTGTACATAAATATAATATTACGATGCATTAGCGCGCCATCTGTTATGAAAATTAGAGAATATTTTAGACGCGTAAGATTCTTTTTGAAATTAAACAATTTCTACTGCCCTTACTGCAATGGAAAAATTAACGGGAGGGCCTGGCTCATCAGTGGTGAACCCTCACAGCGGTTTCGCCAGTTTAATCTAAAATACCGCTGTTATATTGCATTTTTCGATCTTCCGTTTATAGTGATACTGTTGTTAGACTCTTGGAATGGATATTTTAGATGAACTATGGACATAAGCTTTGAGGAAAGTAGAATTTCATACAATTATAAATATATTTTTCCATTGCATTAAGGACAGTAGAAATTGTTTAATTTCAAAAAGAATCTTACGCGTCTAAAATAGTTTCTAATTTTCATAAAATTATTTTTAAAAATATTATTTTTAAAATTTGTGCCCAAAATTTGATTTCTCATTAATCAATATTTCTTTTATTTATCTCCCTCTCTATATATCATATATATTACTATTTTTCAAATACAATTTAGCACCTAATTCAAATATTCTCACGTCTACATTGACAGAGGTTTTTCATATATTCAGGTATCCTTTCCGATTGTCTTAATTTACCCATCTAGCATGACATTATACCCATTCACACTATTGTTCCTTTTGATATAAAAAGTCAAATATTTCTTACAAGAATTTCGAATTTAGCTGAAACGAAGTAAAATTATAAAAATTAAAACGGAGATTGAAGAGGATTATCTTGTGCGAATTTTATTAGCAGGCTTTCGGACGTCTTTCTACAGGCTATTTTACGATAACTAAACAAAGGAACGAGATGGGTTTATATAAGACAAGATATGTTTGCATACGGGAGAAAAAATATAGCATTATAAAAATAAATAAAGAGAAAAGTTAAAACGTAAATTTCGTATGTACAACAATGATATGCAAAATATTTGTGCCAAGGACGTTATACCTATGAAATAAAAACCTTTTTACTATTGTGACTTCAATACGACAAAGGACTGGCAAATAAACAATGAGGATGAACCTATAAATAATATAAAATTGCTAGAAAGAAATGGACTGTGTGAACTATTTACAAAAGGAATGGTATATATCGGGGTGTCTATTTTTCGGTTTATACTGTTATATTTTATGGATATGAATGATTCAAGGAATAGTCTTTGCTGTTTATTATTGGTGTGGTGGTAATGTATTTTTGAGCAATTTAAATTAAAACTATGGCCTGTTTGCGAAAATGTTGAAATTTAAAGATTTACGGTCCTTGTTGGTGATTGTTATGTTCCGTCATTCTCACGGAGGCGGACCTACCCGTCTCACCCACATAAGTGGCCGAACAATCCCCACAGGAGACCGAGTAGACCGCCCCGCAAGAATTGACCGGATTGAGAGGGTTTGCAGTTTTAGTTATGGGATGGAGGGCTATTGAAATAGGTATTGATGCCATATGTTCTTAATATTCTAGAGATTGAAACTGCGTGGGGGGAGTATGGTAAGGCACAAGTATGTCTATAGAATGAAGTGGATTTAAACGGTAACTGAGAGTATAAATGTTTTTTTATGGAGGGAATAGGATAACCAGCGGAGATCAAATTAGAAAATATTTTTGATTTTTCAATTGTTTCAAAAATAGTGAGGGAACAATGGGTATGCGAACGTTTAGTGAGAGTTATAACCGTGTTAATTTTGTGCGATATAGGACTATAGGATTTAAAGCTAGTGTAATGGGGGGGGGGGACTGTTCGGTTTGTAATATACTGTTGTTTGATAACTGCTATATGTACTAACGATCAATATATCTAAAAGGGGGAGAGCATTATATTTCTCTATTTCATATGGGAATTTTAAGTCCGGATGGAAAGAGTTTAAGCCTGAGAGGATAGGATGGTTATGGCAAGACTTAGAAATACAAAATTTATCGTCTATGTATCTCCTCCAATAATAAATATAGGAGGAAAAGCTATTAGTAATATATTTATCCAAAGTTTTCATTACCAACTCTGAAACAATGGAAGACAAAGGGCTACCCATTGTGGTACCTCTTATCTGTTCATAATACTGGGAATTAAACGTGAATATACTCATAGAAAGACATAGCTGTGTTAACTGAGTTATGGTACTATTTAGTTTTTGGTCTATTTTTGCAAAAGTAAGGAAATGTTGCAGTGATCTAAGATGAGTGAGCGTGGCAGTAAAAGATACAGCGATGTTACATCAAATGAGATCATATTATAGTCAGGTGGGGGTTTCAGATGTAAAACCTCCTGTATAAATGCGGGAGTATTGGAAATTGAATGTGGGCCTGGATTGGATTTTATCAATGGCAATAGGTAATTAGTTAAATATTTAGATAAAGTAAAGGCTGGAGAAAGATGATTACATACGAAATTTACGTTTTCACTTTTCTCTTTATTTATTTTTATAATGCTACATTTTTTCTCTCGTATCAAAAATATCTTGTCTTATATAAACTCGTCTCGTTTTTTTTTGTTTAGTTATCGCAAAAAAAGCCTGCGTCGCATGCGTCCGAAAGCTTGCTAATAAAATTCGCACAAGATACTCCTCTTCAATCTCCGTTTTATTTTTCTATTTTAACTCAAAGAGTTTATTTCAGTCGAATTAAAATAAAATGAGAGAGTGCTTGATCATCAATGGTGAATTCTCTCAGCTCTTTCGCTAAAACTGAGACTCTTATGGGTGTTCTTTCCAGAAAATCGTACAAAGCTCTTAAGACTGATTGTCCTTTATATAACTTGAGATCTATGTACTAGCAGAATATAAAATGGAATCGTGCATATAATATTTGGTTGCTTATGCTTGGAGAATTAAAAAAAAATAATAATAATAAGCGACATATCCTTGTCTCAATCTGATGTTCAATAAATATATAATTGGATGAATACAAGTTTTGATCAAAATTTTCTCTTTAGTTTATATAAAATATACAAGGCCGCAGTCACCGTTCGGAGGAGAATAATAGAATCGCCGAATATCGTGGTACATCTGGATGAGGAAAGCGAAGACTAGAACGCGGCTGAATCTACACTCGCCTCTTCAGTGATACGCTAACCTATGCAATGTAGATTCGGTGGCCACTAGACATGCGTC